AAAGATATTGTCAACATGGGTCTCTCACTGCTTGCACATTCTCATTTACCATTATGTTACTGGGGTGATTCTTTTGTTGCTGCAACATATCTACTAAACAGAATTCCATGCAAGCCTTTAAAATTCAAAACATCCCTTGAAGTGCTTTATGGACACAAACCAGATTATAAAAGGCTAAAAGTCTTTGGATGCTTGTGTTATCCTCACCTTAGACCTTACAACAGGCATAAGATGGACTTTAGATCCACAACAGGTGTATTTTTAGGGTATAGTAACCAGTACAAGGGTTACAAGGTGCTCCTACTAGATAGAAGAATCATTGTTACAAGAAATGTGTTGTTTGATGAGTCAGTATTCCCTTATGAAAAAAGGCAACAGGCAGATGGTGCAATTCCTATCAATGCATCTTTTCCTAGTGCACCATCTATTCCCACAGTAACCTCAACATGTGGATCTTCCTCTCATGAACCAGATAATACTATAAACCAAAGGCAAATGAGTTCTCTTGGAAATTCTCTCAGCACCAGTACAAATGGGGGTCACTCAAGCCAAACTTCAAGCTCCACAAGATCAAGAAGTGTTGCCAGTAGTCACTCAACAGTGCCTCTATTGGTGGACCTAGCCATTGAAAATGAGCAAGAGGTAAATGAGGGGACTCAACAGGTCACACACAAATATCCTATGATAACAAGAGCCAAAGTTGGCATATATAAACCAAAGACCTATGCAGCCTATCTTGATGAAGACACTGAGTCTAGCAATCTAGTGGAAGCCTTAAGTAAACCACAGTGGGTAGCTGCAATGAAAGAGGAACTGGTTGCTTTGTCTAACAACCACACTTGGAATCTAGTAAAACTTCCTGAAGGAAATGACACTGTGGGATGCAAATGGGTGTTTAAAGTCAAAAGAAAGGCAGATGGAAGCATTCTCAAGCATAAGGCAAGACTAGTTGCACAAGGGTACCCTCAAATTCCAGGTTTTGATTTTTCAGAGACTTTAGTCCAGTGATTAAACACAATACAATAAGTATCATGCTCACTTTAGCAGTTAATTACACATGGAATGTGAGACAATAAGATGTGAGCAATGCATTTCTGAATGGAGACTTGGATGAAGTTATATATATGAAGCAGCCACCTGGATTTGAGGCTAAAGGCAAAGAAGAAATGGTTTGTAAGCTTAACAAGGCACTCTATAGTTTGAAACAAGCCTCTAGAGCTTGGTTCAGCAAGGTAAAAGGAGTACTGAAATCCACGGGCTTTGTTGACTCAAAGGCAGACAACTCATTGTTCTTTAGAGTCTAAAGAGGAAAGCATCGTTTTGTATTGCTTTATGTTGATGATATCTTGGTGACACGTACTTCAGACAAAGATATTGATGACTTTGTGAATGGTTTTAAGAAAGTCTTTGCCATTAGAGATCTTGGACATATTGAGCATTTTATTGGCATAGAAAATAAAAGGACAAATGAAGGGCTGCACTTGAGTCAAGGAACTTATTAAGGACCTACTCAAAAGAGTAAAAATGCAAGATGCTAAAGGAATACCAACTCCTATGATCATTGCCCCAGCTTTGTCTAAGCATGATGGTAACCCAACTGTTGATGGCACTCTGTATAGAAGTGTTTGTTGGTATATGTGTCCTAGAGACAATCTTTTTGAGGACATATATACGTGATCACATTAATAATTATATTGGATTATAATTATGGTATTGCAATTAATTAAATAATTGTTTGATTGTTTGCAATTTATTAACTAATTGTTCCCTTGAGCTAATACTGTCATTAACAGAGTGAGATGTTAATTGATAAAGTATAACTCTCAAATCGCCTCAATCGATGATCATTAAGAAAGGGATATTAATGATACGCGATAGAATGACATGTGGTCTGCATTACATTCTTGGAGAATATAGTATGTCTCACTGCTATGAATAATTGTTATTCGTGATGGACACATGGATACTTTGGAGAGTATTGGTATACCCTACCGATAAACCATTTGTTTATGTGTCTATGGGAGTATCGGTGTGTGGAATGGTGTAATAGTCTTTTGACTTGAGGTCAATACGCAATTCATGTATAGAGTGATTTACTTAGACCTAGTCCAAAGCTTACGCCCTTATGGGTAGATACGGGCTTATGTTGGGTTGATCACAATATACATGGAATTGGTAGTTGAGCCAAGATAGGATTCATTCCTCGAATATAGTTTCGAGAGAACACTCGTTTTCTCTATACTGGGTTGATAAAGTCATTGGCCAATGCACGTGATTATATTTGAAATGGTGTTCAAATATAATTGATAAAAATCAACCTGTGAGATGAGATAAAATGATTAAGCTGTTTGGATAGACACACGTTCAAATCCTAAGCTTAATCGAATGGTTCGTGAATGAAGGGACCGTATCACTATTGAGTTCTACACGAAAGGTTTGTTTGTTTGTCCATGTAAACGTACTTCATATTTGAGTTCGTCCTTCGACGCAGTCTAGGAGTTTCGTAAAGATCATAAATTAAATTTATGTCAATATATGAAGGCCTATAGGGACACACAATATGCAATCAATTTTCCGGCTAAGAGTGAATCGAGAGTGTTAAATATTCAATTGGATTGAAATATTTATTTTTGAGTAATGAGATTATTTTCTATTTGATGGAAAACATTTAATTAAGTTAAATTAGATTTACACTTAATTAAATTATTAATTGAAAAATAATTAATTAAGTTAAATTAGATTTATACTTAATTAGATTATTAATTGGATTAGGTCCAAATACCTATTGGGCTATAGGGTTTCCTAAGGCCCATATGATTAGGTTTGACCTAATTATAAATATCTCATTATCTCATTCATAATCTTGATCAATTAGATCGAATCATTAGATGGAGAAGATGAGAGACACATCGTAAAATAAAACACTCTCAAGCTTTCTGGGTCGAGGATTCCTAGCTTCTTCACCGGAAGGGATTCATTGGCGTTAGATCGTGCACCGGAAAACTGGATTGCGTGGATACCATAGTCGAGGACAAAAGACGAATAACTGTAAGTTTTCGTGTATCATTCACGCGATCTAGGATCGTATCGAATAGCTATAGCCGGATCTTCATTGTTGGTAAGAAAAATTTTAAAATTCCGCTGCGCGTGCGAACGATTCGTACGTCTAAAATCCAACAGTGTTGTCAGAGCTCTACAATATGTTACCATTACCAGGCCAGAGATAAGCTTTGCAGTGAACAAGGTGAGCCATTATATGTCATCTCCTTTGGACAAACATTGGAAAGCAGTAAAAAGGATCTTAAGATATTTATCAGGGACATCAAACTATGGTTTGCATTTTAAGAGATCATCAAATTTGAACTTAAATGCCTTCTCAGATTCAGATTAGGGGGCAGACTTAAATGATAGAAGGTCAGTGACATGATATTATGTTTTTCTTAGGAAATGTTTGATTTCTTGGTGTTCAAAGAAGTAGGTCTGCCAATGAAGAAAACTCATGTGATTTGGGTTGATAATCAGAGTACAGTTTTCTTAGCTTCTAATCCTATCATGCATGGTAGAACCAAACATGTTGAGTTAGATTATCACTTTGTGAGGGAGAAAATTGCAAGTGGCAGGTTAAGTGTTCATCATATTCCTTCTGCAGAACAAGTGGCAGATTTATTCACTAAGCCCTTGTCTATTCAATTCTTCTCTGAGCTTAGAAACAAGCTTGGTATTGCTTCAGAATCCTCGATCGAATTGAGGGGGAGTGTTAGCAACTCATGTATTTCAGCATTGGAGCATAAAGCTGCAACAATGCCACCTCTGCATGATATTAAAACCGAGCCATGCACAAAGACAAAGTCAAGGGATTATGTTCTACAAGAAGACAAAACTTGAGCTGCTTTATTGCTTTTGAGTTGTCACCATTTATAGCCTTTGATCAGTTCTAACTAAGAGTTATATCAGCCTTTCATTTACATATAAATATTAGAGGAGAAAGTAGTTGATGTATAGGGTTCTACATTTTATCCCAGTCGTCTTGTACTTGCATGAAATGAAAGAACAAGTTTTGCGGATCTCGATTTCCATTATGTTTTCCATGAAAATCTTTCACGTCTAGCATTAAATAATTAAGTTAGCTTATAATGGTCATTGGTCATACTTTTGCTGCTTCTGTTACCTTATGGTCATTGATAATGGGTGAGGTCTTTTCTTCTTTAATATATTATAATTAATGTAATATAAAATCCATATTTAGTTTAGTCGTTGTGCATATTTGGATAATAAGAAATACATATTTAGTTCATTCATGATGCATATTTAGTTTATAAGAAATGTATATTTAATTTATCCGTAGTGCATATTTGTTATATTAAAGTTAAATATATACGTCATGCATATTTAGTTGATACGAAACGCATATTTAGTTCATCCATATTGCATATTTGTTATATTTAAATTAAATATATACAAAATGCATATAATTTAGTTCATTCATGATGCATATTTAGTTCATACGAAATGCATATTTAGTTTATCTACAGTGCATATACTTATATTCAAATGAAATATACACATGATGTATATTTAGTTTATTTATAATCATATTTAGTTCATACAAATGCATATTTAGTATATTTAGTCATTAATGCTGTCAAACTCCCAATATTTTGATCCAGTTGATCAGGAAGTGAAAAATATGCAAGCTTCTAAATTTCTAGAATAGGCTACAAACCACGGTCCCCGTTTTGACCAAATGCAATATATTATAATGTGAATTTTCAAATAAAGCATACTATAATAATATATTAAATTATACTAGGGGCACCCTCCTTGCTTATTTTTTTAATTGTTAGTTGTTTGGCAGCCAACGTAAAAGAGGCTGACGTTCACAAATATAACATCATATCATAATATCTATATACATTGCATTACATCTCAATTAATCCCATTAATTATAATCAAAGAAAAAAAAATTACAAGTGTTTGTATTGGAATATAGTATAGGTTGCATGGCTGTGAGCTTTGCTAGGTTGTCAAGTCCAACTCCAAGAGCCCAAATTGCAGAAGAATGGGAAAAAGTTAGGCTGCCGGAAAGTGACCGGAAATCGAGGGTTCTGATCGTCGGAGGGACGGGTGTCGCCGGCCGGAACACGGCTGCCTCCCTCTCCAAATTCTGTCCTCAACTTCAGATCATCATTGGCGCCCGTAACAGGTTATAAATTAATCAATTTATTATTGAAGCATAATTTTGTGCCTTTTCGAAATTATAATGGAAATATTTAAATCTAAAGAGTCAAATTTGTGTTAAAAAAATTGAGAAGGAGAAAAAGAAAACACAAGTCAGTTTCTTATATTTTTTTATTAACGGCCGCTAGACTTTGGTCGGTTGTTGGGATTTTCCCGTTTACTGTTTTGGTTGTGCTTTGGCTGAACACTGAACAGCATAAAGATGACCGTCGTCGTGGCTTATTGATATTTTTTTAATAAGTATAGAATCAATTCTTAATTTAACTAGGTGCATGAAAATAATATTTGTAAGAAAATAAGTGAACTTATATTTTATTGTGCAATGACTAACAGGGATAATTATTTAGATTTGTATTCTTATTTTATATTCAAGTTATCAAAATAATAACAATTTAGTTGCATTTATAATGTTACATATCACTACAAAGAAAAATAATGAAATCTATATCTATATAAAAAAGTTTGATTATTTTTTAAATAGTAACTATTTCCCTTCAAAAAAAAATCTATTTACTATTTTGGGAAGTTAATTTAACAATTTATGGTATATATATCAAATAGTCACTTGTGAAAATTATTTAAGGAAGTAATTAAGTCATATTTTAAAATACTTAAATTACTCAAATCATGTGAATTAATTAATATATGGTATAAAGTGGATGAATTTATTTTTGGTATTGATGGTTGTGTCTACGAGAAATAAATTAATCAATATATGGTATAGAATGAGCCACTTTATTTAGGTTATTTGATAACTAATTTTTGTTAGAAATTTGTTAAAAAATTAATGAATAAACGGTGTACTTTTTTCTGCAGGCCAATATATTAGTTTTTAGGTGTGTTTTTTAATTTTTATTTTAATTTTTCGTATGAAATTAACATAATAAAATTACCGTAACTCCGACAAAATAATATGAACGGATATTTTGATATAATGTGCGTGTATCGATGTTTTTTTATAGAAAAAGCTCTGGTCAATTTTTTTTGTATAATTAGTGGGTCTCGTTTTGATTTATTTTTTGTTACGACATTTCAAATAATTTTTGTGTAAAATGCATTGTTCATTTTTTTTAGGATGATAAAGAGTGTTGATTTTTTTGGCATAAGAATTCTTATGACTGATTGTTTTTACTCAACTACTTAATTTTTTTAATTTTGATATTTTATACAAAAACAAGTTCATTTTAATTAATGGAACAATATAAGTTTTATACTTATACTTATTATTCGCACAAGTTTTTAAATATATAGAAAAATTTTACCAAAATATTTATTTTATGGAATCACATTATTGTCAAATCGAATTTCTGAATAAAAATTTTGAAATGACACATGGTTTGAAATGAATATAATATAATTTATTATCAGTTATGTGCAACGCACGGGTTGTGTACTAATTTTAAATTTATATTTTTTATGTAATTTTGCACACTTTAAATTTTATATAACATTATCAATAAATTAATAGAGGTAGATTGTATTACATATTGATTCCATGTTTTTAATTTATAAATATTATTTAATGAGAATTTTTAATTTATAAAAATTAATGAATATCTCTTACCCGTGCATCGCACGAGATTCGTACTAGTTCCAATGAAAAATTCCAACATAAATATATTTCAATGGCAGACCCAGCTCTTGGGGGAGGCATGCTAGGCCCATGCCTAGAGCCTCCATTTATTTGGTGTCTCAATTTTTTTTTTATATATTATGTATTGTGTTAGGTTTGACATATTTACACAAATGAAAGGGCTAATGGTTAAATACGGACTTGATCCATTACACAATTGAAGGGGTTAATTAATTAAGGAGCTAATGACAAAAAATATGTACTTTGTGATAGAAATTGAGGCCCTTAGTATTTCATTTGTTTTCATGATGTTCGGTCAAAACAAGTTGTGTGAGAATAAATATTCCTCGCAGTGATATGATTTTTATTTTCTTCTCCTTTGTATCCTCATGACTGCTTGAATGTAATTTATTAAAAATCTTTTTAACCCAGAGATAATCTATCAGTTCAAAGATCTAGAAAAACAAGAAAAATTATTTTATTTTTCAATTATTTATTCAAAGTCTTATTTAATTAGGTTTTTTTTTCTGGGATATCTGCAAATAACTCTAGTTACCACGCAAGCTCAAATCGAAAAATTCGAAAAGAAAAACTTGTCTGGGACCTCCAAGTTTATGGAAACGGCCATGTATTCAATGGAATTCCAACGGTAATTTCAATAGATATTCCAATGTTATTATTTCCATTGGAATTTTTCAATGAATTCCAACGGAAATTCCAACAAAAATATTATGTTGGAATGAGTTTTTGGTGTAGACTAGTATTATCTTTTATTATTATTATTTGCACTGATTATTATTATTAATTATTTCTATTTATCTTAGCTTGGTGGACAAATTAAGGTTTACGGTTAGGGATTTTATATAAATGACTCTCTCTAGATTGTTTTCATTGGTTGATTATTGAAGAATAAAATCTGAGTTTTGTGAGTTTTACCGAGAGAGTATTTTGTTTATCTTTCTCATTTTTCATTGGAATTTTCGTTGGATTTTGACGATTCCAACGGTAGATTTTCCAACGGGGATGGAAATAAAAATTCCAACGAAAATTCCTACGGTAAAAAAACCGTTGGAAAAATAGCCGTTGAAATCATCAAATTCCATCTAAAATTCCAATGGAATACGCATTCAAACTGAAGTTATGCCATTGGAATATCCATTGAAATTTCTATTGGAATATATTATCGTAGAATTTTCGGTTAGAATATAACATTTTTTTTTGTAGTGATATGTCTTAAACAATAAATTACACTTTGATTATATTTAGTCTCATCTATTTTTTTTCAAATATATTTAAAAGTGTAATATTTAATGATTGAAAATATGAATTAATGTGTGTGAGTGAAATAATATTATACTTTATGAAATATAATATTTTTATTATTTTTAATTATAAGATGTATTTTTTTATTTTTTATTTTCAACGTCTTAATAACAGTCAATCTCTTTGTATACTTGTTGCGAGGACTAATTTTTAATATATTTTTTATATTCACTTTATGCCCATACTTTAGTTTCATTTTGTTTTCGAATCTACAGAAAAATACAAAATGAATTATTTATGGTAAATACTAAATATAAACAGAATTTTATAGTTTTATTTGATATTTTTTAAGTTTTTTATAAACAATGTTAATTTTATTTGTTAAGATAGATGAAATTATTTCTTATTGTATGTAATGCAATATATATAGATGTCAAATTAAAAAACGTTAAAACATTATTAATTTGATACTCACAAAAATACAAAAAATAGGAATAATCCACATTTATAGTAATTAAAATATGAGATAAATAAAACAGATTCAATATAGAATAATCTAGTAAAAAGAAAGGTAAACAGTTTGCGGTAATGCTGAAGCCTAGTTGGTATTCTAGTATATATTTGTATGTGGCAATATGTAGCATGATTTATTGCTAAGTAAATATAGGAAGCTTGGAAGCATAGTAATTACGCTTAACACGTTCAAAATAAATGATATTTATTGAGATATTTATTGAGTTATTCAAAATAAATGATATTTATTGAGATATTTATTCAAGGTCAAGTTAATATGCCAAGTTGCCAACATGCTAGAGATATTTATTGAGGTTGCTATTGGATGTAAATAAATTATCTGTATATTCTAATAGGGTAACATGCTAGAGCTATTTAGGTTGGACATTAAATATAAATGATATTCCAGAATAGGCAAACTGCTCAATTTTTATTAGGTATTTTTTAAAATAAAAATTAATTATTATTATTATTATTATTATTATTATTATTATTATTATTATTTATTTGCAAATATATTATTATTATTTATTTGCAAATATATTTCCATGATATGCCCTGAATCTGTACCTTTATCTGTATACAGGGACAAAGGCGCCCAAATTGTATCAACACTCGGTGGCAACTCAGAGTTTGTCCACGTTGACATCAACGATTTCAAATCCTTGCAAACAGCAATGGCTGGTCATTAGCTACTGCAGCTTAATTACCTTCATTTTCCTGAATATATAGCAAAATATATATCTCATTGTTGCACCTTAATTAGGAATATGAGATTAGTTTAGTCTAATAAAATCAATTACATATAAGATATTCTCAAATTATAAAAGTTTTCAAATTAGTCACAAGGTTGAGGTGTTATATATTAATTCTATTGAGATACAATTTATCAATAGCTTTCCCTAACCAATTACAACCAAGGACTAAAGTAGAAGGGGGCACTGAGCCCCAGAATTTTATGTTATAATGTCTAAAAATATGTTGATTATAATAATGATTTTTTTTTAGCAACACTAATTAATATATTTTAGTTAATTCTTTATTTTGTATTTTTTGTACTTATATCTGTAAAGTTCTACCTCAATCTTAAAGTATTTACATCTTTCTAGCTCAACATTAAAGAATTTATAATTTATAGTAAAACTCTATTCGTTTTAATATAAAAATTATATTTAGGCTTTGTTTTTACTAACTTAATTTGCTATTTTTTTCAAATAAAAAAATATTGCACTTAAAATGCTCTATTTAAATAGTCTCGACTTGTTAAAATTGAACTAGAAAAGTTAACATGTAAAAAACATTGAATAATTTATTTGTAGTTATACTGTTTCATACTATTATTTTATTCAGCCCCTCAACCAAATTTCTCTCTCTCTAATTAATGTGGGGTCAACATATATGCAGATGCGGACCTTGTTGTTCATGCAGCTGGCCCATATGAATATGCTGACACCAAAGTCTTAGAGGCTGCTATCGAGTCAAAGGT